GTAAGCACTTGATAGAGAAATTTTGTTTAATAAAAAAATGGAGGTTTGCATTTTGTATGTCTTTTTTGGGTTTCATTCTTCTAGTAATTTATTTTACTGTATTACATTAAGGACCAGTCCACTGTGGATTAGAAATTTTTAAAGCTGGTTCTTTTCCAGGGGTAGTCTGAGTAGCTCACCTCTCGGCCACAAGGGAACCCAGATACTGACCCAAGTAGAAATGGCGCCAGCTGTGAACTGCGGCCCCCGTGCTCCCCGGAGCCTGCCCTGCCCTTGGCGGTCCGCTTCTTCCTCCACGGACTCGTCAGTGAAGACGGAGGGAGGGCAAGGAGTTTCCTCCCTTCATGGGCAGTGTGGGGGCTGCTGCTGTGGGAGGCTCGCAGCCTGGTGCCCAGTTGCAGGGTGATCAAGCAGCTCAGTTTTGGGGGTCTGTCAGATCTTAGCACTAAAGGCCACAGGGATTGTGGCTCCGATGCTTTAAGTCTGAAACCGTTTTCAGAGCAAGCATCACCAGATGCCGTGCAGCCACCATGAAAACAAGCACAGAGTCCTCCCTGGACTTCTGACCTGAAGTGTTGCCTGCCTGACGAGCCCTCTGAGCCACGTCTAGAGTGGCCCTGGTGTCTCAGCTTCCTAGATGTGGGCTGGGAGGCAGTGCAGACATCAGTTCTTGCAGTGATAGGTGGGAGACACTACAGATGGCTCCTGAGATTTGGTTCAAAACCTGAAACCCTCTGGAGGCAGCTGGAGCGGTGTTACTGTAGACATTCACCTGATGGGACCCGAGGCCAGAAACCGCAGCCAGGGGTCCAGGGAGTGGAGGGGAAACCACACTTGCTCCCGGGCCTCCCCAGGCCTCCCCAGGCTCCTGGCTTCTCTGGCTGACGCTGCTGGCTGCCTTCCAGCTCAGTGCTTTCACGCTCTGGGACTCTGGCCCTGCCCCACCTGGGTCGGGGATGAGGAGGAGGTGAAGTACGAAGGGCAAAGGGAACCTGGGAGGAGGAGGACGAGGCGCCACGTTTCTAGTGGCATAAAAACAGGAAAACCATTTACTTGAAAGCAAAGAAAAAAGTGATAGATCTTTGAGCTGTAAAGTAAAATAAGCCACCCTCCGCCAAATGTAACGTAGTCAGAGGGGAAACGCACAGAATGACGTGAGCGGGGATGCGACACAGACACGAGAATCAGTCAAGTCAGCGCACACAGAGAAGTGCCAGTAAACCGTAAACTCTTGATGGAACTGTTGATTTTTCACAAAAAATTTAAATCACGCAAATTAGAATCTCAAGATGTTTTGAAAAGAAGAGCCATAGAAAAACTTGAAAAAAAAATCCTACTTGAGGGAAACTGTCAAGGACTGTGTAATTTCCATACATAAGAAACAGTATCAGAGCTAGAAAAAGATGAGCATTGTTCTAGCTCTTTTTGTGTTAAATTGTGGTTAAAAAATACATAAAATTTACCGTCTGTCATTTTTGAAGCATCCAGTTCTAGTAGTATTAAATATATTCATACTGCAAAACAGAGCTCCAGAACTTTCAAACATTTCATTTTTTAAAACTAGCACATTGGACTCCAAAATTCAGTACTGTATGGTCAGTAGAGCTGTAAAAGTCATTTCTTTAAATCAGAGAGTTGATGAAAGAAATTCTTTATGAAAGAATTCCAGCTGGAAGGTGCAGGATTAAAAGGCCATGGATTCCCTCCCGCAGGGAGTCACGCGGTGGGACTGAGCCTGGTTATTGACGGGGTTGAAGGAGCGGGTTCATCGTCTGGAAGAGGCTAGCTCTGCCTGCGACATCCCCAAGCCTGGAAACAGGAGGCTGGCTGGAATCAGGAGCTCTGGACCACACGGGGAGGGGAGCAAGGCCGCCACACCCTTGAGAGAGGTCAGGGCCAGAAAGTGAGCTGTGAACAGGGCGGACGGCTGGTTTCTCTGCAGGTAAAGGGCGAGGAGGAGCAGCTGGGCCACAGGTGCCGATGGAGGGTCCTGATTCAGACAGACCAGCTGTGGGGATGGATCTTTGGAACAGCTGGGGAGATTGGCTGCAGGTGAATTCACTGGCTCTGATGAATGCTCGTCAGTGGTGTCAGGTGTGGTCATGGAGCCGTGATTGGCAAGAGTATCTAGTCTTGTAGAGCTGCACCCTGAAGGACTTACGGGTGGGGTACTTTGGCGTCTGAAACTTGCTTTTAAAAGGTGCGGGGATGAGGTGAGAGGACACGTTGATAGTCGGCCTCGTTCTAGTCTCCTGGTTTTATGAATGGAAGAAAATACCCATGTTGTAAGTTAGAAACAAATTTAATGCTCATATATGCATTAAAAAAAAGAAATTACAGAGTCAGGAATAGGGTTTTATTTGGATTGTGTGGGAGAGGACCTCACCCTGCGGTCGCCCCTCCTGCAGGGGCCGCTGAGCAGTGACGGGGCGCTTGTCTTGGGACAGAAGAGCCTTGGCTGTGATGGTCACTCGGGAGCTAGAGGTCTTTTGTGGAGTAGCTGTTAGAATAGAAGCTGTTTGGTATTCACAACCATTGATTAGAAGATGTCATTGTAAGAAGTCTCTTTCCTAGAAGAAAACTTAGAAAACCCAAGATGCCTTTGGTAAGAAATCCAGGAAGTTGACCATGCAAGGGTCTGAGGAAGACGCAGACCAGGTGTGAAGATGCTCACTGTTCCAAGCTCTAGGTTGGGTGCAATGTCAGTGAAAATCCCTGTGGAGTGTTTTTCAGCGTGACCAGATACCCTGTTGGATCTGAAAGTGCGTCACAAAGCTCCAAGTGTAAGCAGGCCAGTCAGTGTGGGGATGTGGGTAGGCAGGGCCCTGGGGCAGAATCCAGGCCGGCAGGGGCAGGAAGAAACCGGCATACTTGAAAATAAGGATGTTACACTTTATTTATGAATATGTGTATCAACACAGGTGTTGTTGGTGTGCACAAAATCCTTCCCTGGCGGAGACCCCTGCCCCAGCGTCTGTGAGGATGTAGCCAAGAAGGTCCACAGACCGGTGGGGAAGGGGCGCTAATAGCTCTGCCTGTGCCCTGGGCCGCTCTGTGGGGCGGTGGCCACCCAGCAGGGTCCGCGTCCCTGTCCCTCTTACTCCCTTCCTTCCATGATTCCGCAGGTCCCAGGGAAAGAGTGCAAAGTGCAGGAAAAATACTTTGTTTAGAAAGATGCTCGTAGTACTGACAAAGCCTGAAGACTGGCCAGATTACTTACTTGCTCATCTTCACAGAGTGATCCTGACGTTTACATAATATTTACTAAGCTTTTCAATCACGTGAGAAATAAATGGTGTAAAGTGAAAAAAACAATGTGTAAACAGACACTGTGAAACTGCTTTTAAAAGGCATTAAAAATCAATGATAAATACAATACTAAAAGTCAAGGAGGACCACGAGAAGCAGCACATCGGGGGAGGGCACGTCCTTTCACAGCCCTCGCGCCCGTCCGGCCGAGCGGTGGCCCAGGCCTGGCTGGTTGGGGTCTGACTCGCAGCCTGTTTTTGCTTTCCCCGCAGAACGCGATGCTGGATCTTTCCAAGCGCAGCCGCAGTGGTAAATTCCGCCTGGTGACCAAGTTTAAGAAGGAGAAGAACAACAAGAACAGAGAAGCCCGCAGCAGCCTGGGAGCCCCGGGTACCTGCGCCTGGCTGCTCTGGTGGCTGCCGCGCCCCGTCTCTGCTCTCCCCACCCTGGGACGCATGCTCTGCCCCATTGTCCTGGGCCCGACCGTGCCGCCACCCTCCCGCCCTGCGTGGGGTGCTGACCCGGGTCACGCCCTGCCCTCACTTGCTCCCCATGCAGATCCGGGTGACAGGCCGCCGAGCTGCCTGCCTGTGCTAGACAGGGTGCGAGGTAGGGAGGGGACAGCAGAGGTGACAAGACACTCAGAGACACAGCTCACACTCTGGGCACACGCGGGGCCCCTGTGCCTGCTTCCTCCGAGGGGCTGCTGATCTCCAACAAATCGGTTCTGGATCGAGGCCTCTGTGCCGGGAACCTGGGCCGCCTGGGGTTCTGGGTGGTGAAATCAATAGAAAACGGCACTGAAGGATGTTTCTCCTTTGGGCCAGTAAATTGGGGCTTAAAATCTCCCTCTAAAGTATCGGTCCTCAGCACGGCTGCCCCAGGCTCCCAGGTGCCCGGCAGCCCCAAGCCTGGATTTGGGGGCGGCGTTTGCTGCCCGTCAGGGTAGCTCCCTTTGATTTTTCCTTGCATGTTTGTCCAGAAATTGGGTTTCTTTGAATGACGGTGGCTCTGATTTCATGGAATCTCTGCATGTCTCCCTTCCTGCTGTGGGCCAGAAGTGGAGGTGGAGGGAAGCTGGCCTCAGCCATGTGGTCGGACCCACGTGTCCCTCCTGGGATGGAAGGCTGACGGCCGACCTGGCAGGAACAGACACCAGCTCCTGCTGCCACTCACGCCCCTCGAGGGCTGGTGCCTCCCCTCCTCTTTCTGCACAGCTTGGGCGACACCTGTGGCTGGGTGTTGGGTGCCTCCTGCTGGGGCGTCTTGGGTGCTGGTTGCCGGGGCATCTTGGGTGCTGGTTGCCGGGGCGTCTCAGGTGCTGGTTGCCAGGGCGTCTCGGGTGCCTGCGGCTGGGGCGTCTCGGGTGTCTGCGGCTGGGGCATCTTGGGTGCTGGTTGCCGGGGCGTCTCAGGTGCTGGTTGCCAGGGCGTCTCGGGTGCCTGCGGCTGGGGCATCTTGGGTGCTGGTTGCCGGGGCGTCCTGGGTGCCTGCGGCTGGGGCGTCTCGGGTGTCTGCGGCTGGGGCATCTTGGGTGCTGGTTGCCGGGGCGTCTCGGGCGCCGGTCGCTGCCTGCCTCGCGCTGGGCTCTGGGCACTCACTGCGCTCCCGCTTTTCCGTCTCTGACAGTTCACCTCTGGGGCACAGAGGAGGTTGCTGCCTGGCTGGAGCACCTCAGTCTCTGTGAGTATAAGGACATCTTCACGCGGCACGACATCCGGGGCTCCGAGCTCCTGCACCTGGAGCGGAGGGACCTCAAGGTACTTCCGCAGCGTCTCCCGGGAAGGCACCTGGGCTCCCCGTGGCTCCCCATGCTCCCTCCGGCATCAGTATTCTCTTCCCCGCTCTCCTCAGGCCTTCGTGCACGACTCGAGACACGTGGTGGCCCAGGCAGTGGGCCTCCACCTGCTGCAGCCAAAGCAGAGTGGACGTGGGGGGAGCCTTGCTTTCCTTAGCCTCATGGGCCAGTGAACTGTTCTAACGTTGAGTCCTTCATGGGGCGCAGCCCTGCGCTAGCTCGTCAAGCTGGAGTCCTCTGTGATGACGCTGCCTGGTGGAGGGGGACCCGGTGTACAGGGTGCTCTCCCTAGAGGACAGAGTTGATTAGAGTCGGGAAGCTGTTGGGCTGCCCCAGCGGTCACACTCGCCTGTCTTCACGCTGCTTCCTCTCACGGGAGGGCCCAGAGGGGGCGGGTGGGTGGGCTGGGGCCAAGGTGACCCTGGGGCTCCCAGAGTCCGGCTCTTTGTCTGGTTTGTCTCTTTGTCTCTCTTTATGAGAGGCCGCCGTGGGCGTCTCGACAGTGGCACTTGGGCCACCTGCTCCGCTCGCTGCCAGGCCTGTGTTCGTCTCTGTCTTGTGCCCTGTGCTCTTGACCACATCAGTGACTGTAGGGCCTGGGGGAGACGTGGCGGACGGCTGTATGGTGGCAGTTTTTGGTGCTGTCCCCAACTGTGCCCGTTTTCATCACCTTCACCCTCGCTCGTGTTCAGATGCTGGGCGGAGGGCCCTGGGCAGGCTCTTCCCGGCCTCAGGGCTGTCCTCTCCTTGTAGGACCTCGGCGTGACCAAGGTGGGCCACATGAAGCGGATCCTGTGTGGCATCCGGGAGCTGAGCCGCGGCTCTCCTGCCGCCGAGGCCTAGCCTCCGCCCTC